CAAGTTTCGGCAGGCCGTGGCTGTGGCCACAGGGCTCCTGCGGAGCTCGGAGACCGTCGAGTGGGTGGGCACTGGCGCCAGCACCGAGGTAGGGAATGTGCAGTAGGCAGCCTGCACGTCAGGGCTCAGTGTCTGCAAATGGTCCATAAATGAAGAGCCTGCTGCCTCCCCCTGGCAGGAGGGTGGCTGTGGGTTGGGTGTGGAAGGCAGGATCTCAGATTCGTACTGCAGGAGCTGGTCCATGAAGCCAAAGTTGGGCGAGATCACACTCCTCCTCTGCTTGATGTAATCGAAGGCCTCCTTCAGGCGGAACTGCTTGGTCTTCATGAGGTAAGCCATGCAGATGGTGGGTGAACGGGAGACCCCAGCCTCACAGTGGACCAAGACCTTGCCTCCCTTTTCCCTGACACAGTCTAAGAAGGAAAAGATGTGAATGAGTTAGGATTGGAATCCATAGGCAATGCCAGAACATAAGAATCAAACACCAAAGTGGCCCCGTTATCAAACGGCTTGCTCAAGAGCTGTAGCCCTGCACTAGACTTCTGCCAGTCTTTCATCTTCCCTGGTGAAGACAGAATTTTGATGTCTGTGCCTATGGAAGGGGTTTTTCATCTTTACAGTTGCTTCCCAATTCCCAGGGCACTTGCACAGCTTCTGCCACTGGAGGCGCCAGACCTACCCGGGGATGCCATCCATCTTAACTTGGTTGGGGTCTACTAATTGTTTCCAAGAAGACATTGGAAAATCCTCCAAAATGCATGCATATTTTTATTGGGTATGTATATATTTTTTAAAGTTTTTGCCACAGGGTATGTGCAATCACTTGAGAAAGAGACAATGAGAGGAAAAGTGAGAAATCACCCCCTGGGGTATGGTCATGCTGTGAATCCCTCTCTATTCTCCTCTCAGGATTTTGGGCAGGCACACACATATGCCCAGCATGATTTTTAAGCCTCCAAGTCTGGGACTTGAACTGTGATTGGCCATGTGGGAGTCCAGTGCCTTAACCATACCTCCTGCCGGCCCCAGGGTATTTACATTTTTTTCTAAGGAGAGCATCTCAGGCTCCAACTCTTGACTTGAAGAAACCATTCTTGCCCTTCTAGGTCTGATCGCAGTGGTGATACCCTAGCTCCCATCCGGGCAGGGGCCCTGCTGGACCAAGGTGAGATGCTTGGCTTGGCTCCCAGGATTCCCAAATATACAATCAACAGCACACGGCCAGTAATTACAGTCCTGACTAAGTGACGCGGACCAGACCAGGGATATAAATGGCTTTTGCAAACTCCATCTTGCTCAACAATGGGAGTCACAACTATAAAGTTGCCACCAGAGGTTGGCATTCTTTAACTCAGTGTGATGAAAGGGGGATGTCCTCCTCCCCTTTCCTGCTCTAACCCCCCTACATATACAAAACAAAACCAAGACTGTTAAAAATGGGAAGGGATCAAAGGTTAAACATATATACTTGTCGAAACCACAAAAAACAGTCTGACTCCCTCTTTTGCTAGGGAGGAAACGATTGCATCACAGGAAGTTAGGTGCACCTAGCACGATGTTAGGCCATAGTGTGCAAAAACATTTAAGGCTTCTAAGGGCAAAACAAAGTCAGCCCCCTTACCACCCCTATCCCATTAAAGGAGTCTGTAAACTAAGCTGCAAAATCGAAAAGATAAAATGTCTGAGGGTCATGAAAGAACCCTGGCCTCTCCCCATCTGGACAAAAGAACATCTAGAGCAGCTCATTAGAAAGGCCCCCAGTTCAAACTATCTCTCTAAACTATTAAGAGTTCTAGGGGAAGACCCCTAGGCCTGAGGATGACAAGGCAATGCCACGTTTTCTGTAGTTCCTCTGTTGACCTCCTTTGTGGTCGAACACTGATTGGCCCAGGTTGCCAAGAGCCTAGACTGCACTGCCTTTGGAACCCACTCAAACCCCAGGGGCTTACTTCCAGGGATCAGTGCAGATTTCAACACCTGCCCCTAGGGGAGGCTGCATACCTCCTTCCACAAGCTGGGAAAAAGCATCCTGTGCTTTCGAAACGCTGTGGTGTGTGGCTGTGTACACAAACACAGGCATAACACACACACACACACACACACACAGGATGAGGAGGGAAGGTTCTGAGAACTGGATGGGGGCGAGTTTCGTGACCTCATTAAATAGCTATCTAGGTAATTAAATAACAGGCCGAGAAGGGCAAGGCACTCCCAGGGACAGGGAGAGCAAGTCCAGGGTTTCCCGGCCTGAACCCATCATTTGTCTGCCTCTCAGACTCCCAAGGAGCCGTCTCAGCCCAGCGGCTCAGGGGACAAGAAGGGCAAGGAAGACAGGCTCTGCCTTTTGCCTTGGGGGAGTTTCTTGTCAGGGTTTCCTGTGGGACAGAAATTGTGTACAGGGGGCAGAGGCCCACCATGTGGCGGAAGGGGGGCCTTTAATTGCTACCTGCCGTAAGTAATGATTGCTATGCTCAACACCTGCTTTTCCTCGCCACCACCCCTTCCAACCACATACAGGAAAATAACCAGTGATTTCCAACAACTACGTGTGTTAAAGAGGAAGGAGGATTCTGGAAAGGAAGGCACGACCACAAAGTGGGGGAGTCGTGCTTGCGAATTTGAGACAGAACCTGTCAGGCCAGCCCTGGAAGGGGCAGGATGGGAGGGAAAAATGTCGAATGAAAAAACAAGCCAGTTACCGATAGTTGACTAATATTAACAAATATTGACCAATATTGACTTTGCTAATCAACATTATGGTCTATTCATAAAATCCAAGGTACGTAGCCATTAAGATATATGTATGATGTCTATGTATAAAAATGTGGACCATAGTGTATAAAAATACCTTTAATGAAAAAAATTAACTATGATCAACATTTTACAAATAAATAAATAAATTCCACATGCTTAACCTTAAAAAAAAAAAAAAAAGGAACAAGCCAAGCAACACCAAGCACCGAGTACCTGGAAACCCTAAGTCCAAAACCCTTTCCAGGTAGAGCAGTCAATGGCCAAGGCCTCGAATTTCAGGTTTGTACAATGAATAACTGCCTCACAGAAACACAGAAAGGATGCCAACTTTTCTGTGCATAAAGCATAGAGCTTAGTCATGTGCAATCTTTAATCCAAAATTAGCTGAAAATGCAAAACAAATTGCCCCCAAAGCCATTTGGCCAAAACTGTGGAAAGCTGCTGGGGCCCCTGGGGCTCAGTGTATACGCAGTACTCTTTCACCCCTCTGTTTGCTTTTTAAAAAGATCCCAACCTACAGAGAGCCACAGTTAGAGGTCCTTCCCCCCATTTTCCTCGTGGGCAGTATTACGCATGGACTCACTCTGTTCCTGCCCAGCAACAAACAAGAGTGGCCGTGAGCACTGCCACGACATTCTATTCATTCCTTTATCTAGCAAATAAAGCTCCTATTAAAAGCTACTCAAACCCTCCCCTCTGCCTCTTCAGTGTGGGGGACCCTTCCTGGCTCCGCCCTGCAGAGGCTGAACATATGAGACACTGCTTTCAGAGAAGGTGGTCCCCGTCAGCGCAGTAAAAGCCAAGAATGCGTGCGCCGAGGGGGGCTCCCAAAATAACGCAGGGGGACTGCAGAACCTACCGATGAAGTCTATTGCTTCTTGAAAGTGGGAGCTGATGTCAGCCGTGTGGCTGTCTTCCACGGGGATCCATTTGTAGTGTAGGTGGGCCGTGCAGGCCTCGGAGGTCCGCCGGGAGACATTCAGCAGAGCTGTGACATGCAGGTTGGCGAGGAACTCGCACTTGGACGCGTGGTAGGCACTTCCAAGGTAGAGGAAGGGAAGGATTTCAACTGGGCCACCCTGGAGCGGGGGGGGG